TTTTTTTTTTTCTTTTTTTTTTTTTTTTTTTTTTTTTTACATTAAGTGCTAAAAGCATTGCTTTTATCACTTTCGATGGAAAATTTTAAAAACTGAGAATAATGGGGATAAGTATATTTTATTTCTCGTAAAATTAGCAAAAGGAAGCGAAAGGCTGGATTTAATTTGTAGAATTTGAATGCGCTGTCCCTGTCGAAAAGAAGACAAAGAAAATAGAAGGGAAGGAAAACAAAATAAGAACAGAGGTCTTCATTGATTTTTTAAAAGAGAATTCCTTTTCCAGGTTTGCTTGCTTGTCAAAAATAGACCACAACAATTTATCGCTTACTTTGGAGTAAATTTTTTGAAGTACTACAACTGAGAAATGTTTTCTCATGACACTTAAACCACCATCATTTTTTGCTGTACGGAAGATGGAAAAAAAAGCATTTCAAAAATTGAATTGTTTACAGTCTAACCTATCGCCATATAATGTATAATTCTTCATTGAGGATATGTCATGATATGGTTGAAGATGTAAATTAATAATCATATAAATTTTTTATACTTTTCCATTGTTCTTAAAACAAGGTCTATTTTAGTTCTTTAGTCGTTACAAAAGATAAAAAAATCTCGATATTCCAAATATTTCGGTACAAAGACTATTTTAGAAAAAATATTTGGGTACCTTTTTTGACAATTGTATTTCTAAAGTACATGCATGGAGTCAATTTTTATTCGAATTATTTATAAGCATAAGCCGAAGGCATTGTAAGAAAAATTATAAAGACAGAGAAACAAATTGTTGCTATTTTATGAACAAGAGACCCTGGGAGGTATTAAGGAATGAACTCACAACTCTATACTAAACGAGAATGCTAAAAATAGTACTTACCGACCGAAGTTCTGGTTGTAAGTGCTGTCGATCCGTCGATCTTGGGTGATTTGACATTCTTCTCGACTTGCTTTCTTGAAGCGGGTGGATGATACCGAGCGACGACCACTTGCTTACCATTTTTGGTGGAAGCTTTGCCGGCTCCTAACTCACGGGTTCCTTCCCAAACCACTTGACAGAATGGGCGATTGTTAGGCGTAACCCTGGGTGCAGAGTAGTCGTAGTTTTGCGATTCTTCATACCAGATCTGAGTGACTTTATTTCCCGTAACATTTGACCCCCAGAGACAAGCTATGTTCTCTCCTATGCCCCGTTCTTGGCTGTAGGTTAGTGAATCGGCTGAGGCGAGTTGCTCTGCCCATTTTTGAGCTCCGTCAGCGAGCCTTGTCGACCATACCAAAGGTGTGGTGCCGTGGAGAGAACGGTAGAAATTATGAGCAGAAATACATTCACTTCGAAATTTCACCAAATCTGAAACAAGAAAAAAGAATTCCAAGATTTTAGAAGAAATATCAAGGTCACAAGCTTAAAGAAAGCCTAATAATACCGCCATTTTCGGCTCAGGTCATATCCAGTGTATTCAAAGTAAACTCCTATGGTCAGAGTTGTAAGGCATGTATGGATGATGCATAAATCATACCGTCGTGTCTGGAAGAGGAGGATCGGCTTCATCCATGTTATTTACTCGATCCAAAGGGAGTATTTTCCCGCAATAACCTTGATTGATCCAAGAAAATTATAAAAAAGCTATTCCACTAGATGAATCGCTAGAGAAATACCAACAGTAAGAGTGATATTTGAATAATTTGACAATAAAATTCTACTCTGACAGCTGAGCTAGCGAGTTGGGGATTTGAATGCCGAGCTCTCGATAAATGAAGATATTTGAAATAAAAATCGGCGAAGCTTCTTCGCGTGGTTTAACTCGGAAAAATCGCTGGGATTTCATTGATGAAGTGATTTTTGGTTCGTTTCTACTTACCACTTTTGTCCATCGCTTGACGGCGACGAAGCGCCGATCGTATTTGGCTAGTTCTTCAGCCTTTACTGTCTCTCTTGTATGAATATCAATGACTACAAATCCAAAGCCTGCCACAGAACAGGTGTTAGATGCATCACGTGATCAAACAATAACCGCTTGTCAGACGCCCTGCGACGAATTTTACATATTCCTGACCGCGTTTAGCAACGAAAAAAACAAAAAAAATTCGATGGATCTGTTTTTAAAAGTCTTTAAAATCCGTTGTCTCTATCTAAATATCTCAGAGGAAAAAATACAAGACATTTTCTCAATATACCGTTATCATTTCAGATTCTAGGTGTTTTTGTCGGTAAGAATTAGATTTCGTTGACGGAAATAAGAAGTAAGGGAAATACTACACTCTCCGCATTAATATAGTTGTTCTAAAATACATTTTCAAAAATGTAGGTCAACTTGTAGCACAATATTTCTAAGATTTTGGCGCACGATTTTGCTGTATCTTCATGAAAGCCATAGTAGTTGACGCTTCATGCAGAGATATAAGGTTCAGGGAAATATAATCTTAAGCTTTCAATATGCTGTATTCAATCGATTGGATGATTTATAATAACACTTATACGTGAATATGTCCTCTCGATCAAGATTTACTTGGAATTTATGATTCTGTCAAACTGAATTGCAGAATGTTTTAAAGATAAAACCACATTTTTAAGCAAAAAATAAAAAATAAAAAAATAAAGAGAGAGAGAGAGAGAGAGAGAGAGAGAGAGAGAAGAAAACTATTAATGATAATAATAAAAAGCAAAATGGAATATTTATTAATAAGAAAAGAAAAGAGAAAATGTGATTTAACATTTTTGAATTTAAAAATAGGAACCCAACTTATTCAGAAATAAATTATATTTGGTAATATAATTTTTCGAATTATGGAATTACAGCCTATCTTTTACAAAATTAACTAAATGATTATGATTCGCATTTCAGAGTAAAATCGAGAATTCATGATTATTTCTCAGGGTAAGATAAAAATATCTTTTTATGATTTCAAATTGCAAATTTTTTCCATGGGTCATTAATTTCGAAATAAAGATGACAGGGTTTGATAACGTTGATAATGAGCTAGATTCGAGATCTTCTCTGTGTGAGGTTTCTGTGATATTTGTTATGAAATCATATAGTCGAGACGTTCTATATATGATAAAAAAGTTGCTTTGTTGACCCTACAAGTGCCAGGAATAAGGAAATATATGTCTATGAGAAAAATAGAAAACTGAAGGTATTAAACGACAAATATTTTTAATGAAAGAACAATATTATATATTGAAAAAAAAAAAAACCAAACAAACAAACAAACAGCCAACTAAGAATAAAGAAAAGTATGATATCAAACTTCAAAAATTTAAAATATAAAAAAACTCGGAAAAAAGAAGGACAAAATCAAGAAGTACAAACATTAATAGAAAAAAATGTGTGCGGGAATATAAATTATAAAAATACTTAAAATACATTTTTAAAATAATGTTTGGTAAAGAACTGAAGAAGAAAAAAGAATTAAAAAATAGTAAATAGTGGAATTGAAAAATTATGATAAAAATTCAAAAATATTGAAATATCTTACTTTCAAAATTAACATGTTTGCTGATTCTTGAAATAATGTGAAAAATGACACTGCTAATTAATTTCTGTTTCTGGTTTACATTAGAATGAAATGACGAATTTTGGTTTTGCTCCGAGACATGGATAAGTGCTCGTTTAGGTTAAATTCTTTTTGCAATTTCAAGCTCTAAACAGAAAAAAATATGTGTATTTTAAACTAGCCAAACCCGAATCAAAAATAGCGACAAAAAAAAAAAAAAAAAGCAAAATTGAAGAATTTAAGTATTAAGTGTCACAAAGTATTAATGTACAACTGCTAATTTCCAGTGAGCAATCATTAAAATACTTCAATAATGAGGAAATATATCATTAATAATGCAACGAAAAGTGGGTTAAAAAGAAACGCCTACGCAGCGGTGCACTTTTTGAATAACACGGAATCTGAATTACACAATAACTTCCTTCAGTTAAGACTTCCTCTTCATACAGGGAACCCAACCAGTTGACAAATTGAATTGTCTAAAAGGTCTAGCGGTTCGCGGTTTTATTGCGGGTTCTAGAATTGCAACCGCAAAAAAATAAAGGTTAAACCTTTTGATGAGAAGTAAGAAATACATTTGATTTGAATTTGTAGGAAAAAAATTAATATTTGTGCAGAATAACGTTAGAGTTTTGTAGTTCTATGACTAAGAACTAGATGCTTGGCACTAACACTCAAATGGTTTCCGAAAACAATCACCGCGGTTGGATAGTACCTATTATTGTACTTTTTGATTGGTTGAAGGGGAAAGCCATTTGAGAGTCACGAAACGATAATGTTTTACAAGGAATGCGAAAAACAAGGCTCAATAAAAGTCAGCGGTTGTGGTCTATTCGCGGGTTCTTTATTTTTAGCGCCCTATATGCCTTTCACTTACCAATAAACAGCTCATGGAAAAAAATTGTTAAAAATGAATTTCGTTTGCAAACGTCTTTAATTTTGTTTTTCCTATGAATCAATTAATTGGTTGACCAATGTCTAAAGTTTGTATTGTTAAACGTATTTCGATTTTTCGTTTATAGCTTTTGAAAGCCGTGCCGAACATTGTCAGGTTTATGAATGAAAATACGATGCGAGAACAAGATTTTTCTTTTCTCCCCCCCCCCCCCCCCCCCCCCTTCTCCTCTAAATTACCAGTGAAATCCTAGGCTTGGGCTCCCAATTATATTTAGTAATAGGAAACAGAAAAACAATTAAATGCGGTTGTTTTTCATTAAAACACTTGCACAACGTTTCTGGTGTTTTGCACCAAAATGCTTTTCTCTACCGAATATGAGCGATAAAATACTCAGCATGGGCACCCTGTGATTTTTCGTATGGGGGGGAGAGGGAGGAATGGATTCTGCGGAAACAAATGCTACAACCAGAAGTAAAACACCAAAAAGTCTTGCAAAAGAAACAATTTAGACACGACACGTTACCACAGTCCAATCCAAGGTTATCGACAAATAAAACATTAATGTCGACCCTCTAATAAACAAGATCAAAAGAGCGCGAAATTCGATCATGTAAGTTTTGCCGAAGGTAATATATCCCCTAGGATCGGAAAGCGGTGTGTGTACCGCAAGAGGTTGCGGATTCCGATTCTTTTCTCGGTTCACCCGACACCGATTTCAAGATAACCAACATGGAAGGAAACCGTCTTTTTTTATTTTAATTGTCATGTAAAAGGTTATAGAATTAACATGATATTCAACCCACACACAAAAAGAATAAATTAATAATAAATGAGAGTCGATCTGATCTTGTTTACGAAGTCAATCTTGTTCACCAGTGAGTATTATTAAATGTAAAACAAAAGAAAACCTTAAAATAATGCATGTGTCATTGCGATAAGACGCTGTTCCTTGGTATAAATGGGCAAGAAAACTTATCTTTAACATTATTTTTATATTTTTTCTATTCTGAACCCTTCGGCAACGAAATTCATTGTTGCTATGCGCAACCAACGAAGGGATTATTCTCCATGGTCAAAAGTTATGGGAAGGAAAATGCACAGTTTAACATTTTATTAACATTTTCAACCTCTATGTGATAAGATTCTGTTTTAGAAAACTCCATCAACAAAGGAAAAATAATAATTGGGAATGACAGGGTGGAAACAATCGACTGAATCAGCAAGGTGTTTGAATAAAAGGAACATTCTCTCAACTCCCGCTTGGACTGCTCGTATAAATGACTAGAAAATAGCAAGATCGTTCATTTATTTTGCGCGGGCTTGTGCTTATCAATAGCTAGTAATCAATAATTAATTGGTATGATTAATGACTAGTCATGTTGTAAGGTGAGCATATATCGTGGTAAATAGTATAACATTCCGTGAACTTTGCATAATAAGAGTATAACATACTTAATCGTTTGTTTCTTTATTTTCCCTATTCTGAGCTCTTCGGGGAAAAATCATTGGAAAAAATATCTTCCGTGGTCAAAAGCTATGGATAGAAAAATTTGATATATTTGACAAAAGGATATTGAAGGAAAGATTTATTTGCTGAAAAGGGGCAACAAGGTGTTCTTCTAAAGCATTCCTCATTTGTATATGCTTATTCATTTGATCGGGAATTTTTTTGTCAGATTTTAACCTCAAGGCATAAGACTATTATTATTCTGCGGTGGTATCACAAGAGATGTTGCGGTGGGAAAAGAATTGATATCTCATCACCTTTTATATCACGCAGCAATAAGTATGTCACGCAACATTCGAAACATCACGTAATGATATGTGTATACCGTGTAACTCAAAACGCGTGTATTTGTATTTATATTTCAGCAAAGTTAGTCACCAAAAACCGACAAAGCTAAGGTCACCGAGGATAATAAGACATTTCAAGTCAAATAAGTAAAAAAAACTGTTGATACAAATTACAGCTCGATAAAAGATGAATTCAATGAATTCTTTTGTGATATCCTCCAACATGGCCGCCGTGTCTTTTGTTATTTAATTCTCTTGGGAATGGTTAAAACCATCAATACATTTTCCCATAAGAGTGCTCATGGAATAAAGGCGCAATTACACGAAGCAATTTTCTCTGCAACTTGTCTTCGCGCAATAGCGTTGCGACACAAGTTGCAAGAGTGTTTACATGGTACAATGGAGACTCAATCGTTGCCAAAAGTAGAAACAAATTCTACTTTTCGCAACGATTGCTGCAACTTGTCTCGCAACATTTTTCAAATTGCGCTGTAGGCTACACGCTATAAATACTCCATGCAACTTGTGTGGCAATGCGAGACAATTTGCAAAGAAAATTGCTCCGTGTAATCGCACCTTAATCGATCTTATTACAAATGCCATTAATTTTACAGTTGACATTAAAAGCCGAAACTCTGCCTTTTTACTAATATCGAGGTGCACGTTTCGTTCGTGATGCTCACAACTGATAGATTTAAGAGGTTTACGGTCACGTGACTTGTTAGCGCAAGTCATCAATTCCATTTCCTCACATTATTTATTTATTTATTTATCGTTTGCAATAATCTTATTAAAACTAAAGCTTTTAAAGGCTTTTAACGTTTAAAGCTTATATACACTAAATGTATATTCCTTGAATACTGTCTCTGTTGAGTGCGCACTTGCGAGTGTCACGCAATTTCGTGTCGAGTGTAGCTGTCACGCAATTCGAATTTTATAACATAATGGTTACTGTGTCACCTTCAAGTCTTGTACAAACGTCTTAAGAGTCGAGCATATTTCTTCGAATTCCTTCACGATGGACAGACTTGGTGTGTGCTTGGTACGAAGATCAGTCAGGGTTTTTAGCTGTGACCTCATCTTCTGAACCACCTCACTGTACATGACGTCATTCTATAATATATAACCATGATAATACTGTTAACCAAATTTCCACTTTCGATCCCAGATTAATCTCGTACCCAGACCTTCTCTGTCCTGTTTTAGGAACTCTCGGTACGAGATTAATTCCATATCCATTTTTAGAATTTTACCTAGTATGCTCAGTAATGATGACAGAGCTCTGTGGACGGACTATCAATCTCGTACCCAGAGCTTAAAGGCGCGATTACATAGTGCAATGTTTTCTGCAACTTGTCTCGCAACAGCGTTGCATGAGCGTTTACACGGTGAAGCGGAGACGCAAACAATTGCTGCAACTTGTTTCACAACTGCAACATTTTTTTTCAAAATGCGCTGTAGGTTACAGCGCTGTTGCGAGACAAGTTGCAGAGAAAATTGCTCCGTGTAATCGCGCCTTTATTTCTAACTTATTTCTTCGAACATGCGCATTAAGAAATAAGGGCCCTGGGCACGATATTGTGTGGCCTATATGCTCAGTTTTGTGTTACACATTTTATCGCGACTGCGTGCGCATGTTTTAGGCGTGAACTCCAACTGACTTTTTGTCCTTGATAGATAATAAACTGATAAGATTTACTAATTACATGATTTTCCAGACTGATAAAATTTCATTAAAACATATTTATTTAGACACAAAAAGTAATTGCCAAAAATCGTACCAGTCAACATGGCGACTAAATTTGCAAATTTCACTACCAGCCAAAACAAAAAATATCATTAGTCCTTGGCTAGTTGACTATTTCTAGGTTCGAGAACTGTGGGCATTTATTTAAGTCATGATATTGTTTTTATCTTTATTGGCATGTTTTGTTCTCATTCTGTAATTACTGTTAGTAGCCCGTCAGATGTAGAATTTCGAAAATTGTGCGACCCAACGAAAACGTCGTACTAGAAAACACAAGCAATTAGTCAATCACCTGATCTGTTTCTGTATCCTTATTGGCATCTTCCATGACGTCGCGTTTAATTCTCTTCGGCTCAGGCTGCGGTAAAAACATTGAAATATATAAATAAATAATCTAAGCATTATTCGTCAGAAAAGCATAAGTTACATGTTAATGAAAAGTTATATGTTTCACCAACCTCTTGTAAACAGTTGGCGTTGTCCGCAATGCCTTCATCTTGTGCGGCCATGCTTCTTTTGTAATCTGTAGTTACTTCTTCGGGTGTTTTATTTTGACTCTTGATTAGTTCTTGGATCCAATACTATCGACATATGTGATGATGGATTAACAGCACACCAAAAGGAAAAAAGGACGAATAGATGAATAAATAGATGGACACATGGATGGCCGGGAGTATGGATTGATTGGATGAATGGACGCATGGAGGAATGATGAATGAACGAATAGAGAAAAATAATAGATGGATGGACAGAAGGACGGACGGATGGATGAGTGGATGGTCGAATAGATGGAAATGGAACAAGGGATACCTTATTTTGAAGAGAAATTTCTTCTCGCTTAAAGGGAATCTATAGAAAAGAAAAATTAGAGATCACAAATGATGATTTCTTACTAAATTCTCCCGTAGAGTATATGAGGGCTCCACTTATCAATATACAATACTTACGTTATTGAGGAAATCTGAAAGACTAGGTAAGAGTTGTTCAGGAACACAGTCCCCCATAATGTGCGTGTACGGAGTGACCTGGTAAAGGAAGAGACGCCAAGAACCGTTAAAATGTCTCTTGACTAGTGGGCTACTTTGCACTGTGCCAAATACCTATGAGAAACGTTTTATTATATTTTGGACCCCGTTGAGCTGCGCCACTGCTGTACTTGTGGTGGTGACTAGCGATAACAAGTGGGGCTTTTTTTCTTTTTTTTTTCTTTTTTCTTTTTTTGTCGTATACTTTTCAAGCATTTTCTTAAAAGCCCGTTAAGTTAGTTAAACAACTGGCATTCATTTTACTAGAAAGTCAGTCAATGGCCAGCATTTCTTTACATGCAAGCGTGAGCAAAGGCTGTAATCTTGTTCGAAAGGGCGAGAATATCTATACCTCCGCAAATGCCTTGACAGCCTCCAGAGACTTTTGATGGACGAGCCACGAGTGACTGCTAACAAGCCATGAGAATAAACCAGATACCGATTCAAACACTCCAGTCTGTCAATAAAAAAGTAATAACTTGTCTTTATCTTCATGTCTTCCTCGATTCTTCGCCATTATTGCGGCGACAAATACAGGGGGTCTGGCTTGTGTAAACTCCTATTTATTCTACATTATCAAATCAGTTCACCTCTTCATCATCACCCCCTCCCCCCTCATCTGTCCCCGACACGACAAGTCTGTACCTTTTAGTTCAGTTGCTCATCTACCCCTCCCCCTATTAACCTAATGTTCAGTAGTTCAATCAGGCTTCCTTTTCAAAAATCCGGAGCAATTCTCTGATCCGTTAAGCCAAAGATAGCGCACGTGAATACTCCTCGTCCAATCAGAATGCTTGAAAATGACAACGGTACGGTCACGGCATTACAAGTCTGTACCCTAGCCACCCCACCCCCGCAGTAGGCAGATTGCATGATGACGTCATTTTACGACCACTAACAAAAATGCTTCGCAAATTTTCTTTCTTATTTCTTATTCTTTCTTCTTCGTGAGAATAGAACGTATTCACTCACGTGAGAAGGCAGCCACAAACAATAGAAACTTTCTGCACAGTATTTGCATAAAAATAGAGTTTAATTCCCGGAGGATAGAAAATGTATTGTTTTGGTACCCCATAATGGCCGCTGTGACGTCACGTGAAAACGCTCTATAGTGCTAATTAACTGAACAAAAGTATGCACGGAAGTCCGGTAGTGTTGTAGTAGATGATGTAATGCAAGTGAAGAGACTGATTTGTTACCTCATAATCTTGCTGAACTTCCTGGGTTCCGCACTTTCCAAGAAAATCAGCAATAGCTACTTTGATACTAACAGAGTTGCACTGGTTTGATAGGTTACGCAGGCAGCGAAGGATCTAGAGAGGACATTAAACCAAGTTGGTTGACTAAACAAAGCATTCCTCATTATGCTCTTCCATTGTTTTGTTTTTTTATATATATCTCAAGGGATTTTTCGGTTACATAGTTGCAACCCAAGAATAATAAACGTAAAGAGATTAAAGAGACGTAATAAGCCTGAAGCGAGATGACGTTTTACCCCCGTCTCTAGACCATAGTAGTTTTTTAAAAATTCTTTCATATTAAAATTTTTGATTCCTTAGAGAACACAGGAACAAAGTCATAATTAAAGAACGAAAGCAATGTGAAAAGGATTATGGTCTAGAGACGGGGGTAAAACGTCATCTCGCTTCAGGCTTATTGCCCTATTTCATAATGACGTCACGGTTTGTTTACATCGGCTAAAATGATAGAAATTTAAGGCTAAATTTAAGCTTAATTCTCTTCTTTCGAGATATTTAGCGTAATATTTAGTTGTTCTTGTCTTCACCAGCTCATAAACCAAATTTCATTGTGATTTAAGATGTGTTGTTGTCATTCCGTCCCCCTCCAGCGACCATGGTCCCTAGCATTGAAACCATAGTTTGTTTTGATGTGACGTCATTATGAAATAGGGCAATTACGATACGTAATAAAAAAATGCAGTAGTTTTGTATTCACCAATTTTTAACTCAGTGTCCCAGAATGCTACATGGTCACTATATGATAAAACTTATAAACTTAAACTTAGATAAACTTATATTTTACAACCACCACTCCCCATGCAGGGCTCTTCCGTGAGGTTCCCTCCACACGCACTACCACTACATTCTATATTTATAACATACAACACTCAACTCAACTCACATGTTGATTTTTACGGAGGAAGGAAACCGGAGAACCCGGAGAAAACCCTCGTGGCAAGGGAGAGAACAACACAACAAACAAGCTCAACTCACATATGATCCAGTCTGAGCCAGGGCTCGAACCTGGACCACAGTGGTAAGAGGCGAGCGGTAAACCACTACGTCACCCATGCTACCCACAAATGATTCTGTACATACCCTTGCGTAGTCTTGCGGTTGAATAAACGGTAGCAGTAAACCAGACAATTCAATGACGTCTAACCAGACATCTTCGCTCATCTAGATGGATGCAAATAATAGGACGTGATAAAAGTAAATGATATGGATGCAAAAAAAAAAAAAACAAAAACACAGCATGATGATAAGTCGGGTGCTTTCCCTTCTCTCAACCAGAACGAATTAGCCAATCAGCGAAGATTTTGTTCAAAACACAATACTTTCTAGTTTCTCACCCTTTCATGATCACCTCTGGGGTATTGAGTTTGATTCTTTGATTCACTCGGCATCGTGTAATATGTCAACAAAAACCAAACATTCTAAATTCTAATTCGATTTTCGATTTAGCCTTGCCCTAACTTTGACCAGTCCAGAGCTTGTTTTAGGGATTCATTCTGTGAGTTAGCTGTGCCCTAACTTTGATCAACCCAGAGATTGTTTCAGGGTTTGATAAAACTCGAAGATCACCCCCCCCCCCTTTCTTATTTAGAAATGACATCATTTTTTGTGTAAAAACATTACACTCTTCCTGCCCTACAACATGGCTGCCGTATATGGAACCACCCTACACTCTTTACTCATACCTTACAAGTAAAGGGCTTTTAAAATTGAAATGAATACTGACCTTGATGGCCTGCTTGTTAAACTTCGTCCATACATTATTCACCAGATCAACCACAGCCGAGTGATGTACGGGAGGGACAAGACGATGGGCGTGTTCAAGACTGTAGATCGCTTTTAAACAGCCAATGTAGTGAATCTGTAACGAATAACCAAACAATACTAATGAGAAAACACAGTTCTCGAACAGGTGAACCGGAAGCTAAGGAAAGGGGGTTCCAGTTCTTGAGTTTGCTCTAAGTTCCTTGTGTCTGGCACATACGAAGAAAAAACTCTGAATAAGAAAGATTCGCTTAATTTCTTAGCTTCGTGATGTTTTTTGCCTTTTGGTATGATAGAGAACTGAGGAAATGAGACCGGTATTGACAAACAGAAGTAAGTAAGGCTTGGTTGGTCTTTATATCAAAGGGGCACACAACATTTTCAATAGAGGCTTTGCACCATCACGTGATAGCTGACATCACAACAATAAAGGCTTTTCCACGCGCGTAAACCACTGATTAGACTATACACAGGGAGCCCAATTTAGATTAAAGTGAATATAAACATAAGAGCGACATTAGATACCATAGGGGAATTATATAGGAAAACAAAGGCGCGCGCGAAAAAAAAAATCTAGTGCATTTTTTAATCGATTTTTTTACTCTTTCACATTACAGAGGACATTATCTTGACCTCGAATTTTTAAAAAAATTATTTGTTTAAATTTTTTAAATTTTATTTTCACCATTCACTTTAATCTAAATTGGGCTCCCTGTGAACTATATTGAAATTTTTCCTGTCTCCTGGCATGGCTGCCATCACGAGATGGTGCAAAGCCTCTACAGGATATGCAAATTGTTTGTCAGCGCCGGCCTTTCATACCTCCTCGAATCAACAATACCTACATTTTCATGAAGTTTTGAGGGTTTACTTGATAGACAGTCATGACAACGTTTGATACAAACTGGGACTGCAGTACGACAGACCTGTGGTCAAACACACAAATAAATGCTCAGTACTATTATTCGAATTTAATATCACATGCGCTTATTGCTACTGATACGATAAGGGTAAAGTGAGTACATTAGTCTAATGTTCAAGCCAACGGTGCAGACTCTTCCCAACGACAATTCCGCGCGTGCTGTTGAAACAAGAATGTCAGCCTTCTAGTGCTTTAGGGAAAATCTCAGACTGCAAGACATTTTGATTTATATTCCACAGTCCCAGGTTTCTGGCGAGTAGAAACAAGTGACCGGCCCTGGCACGGAACATGGAGCACCCTTGAAAGTGGGGTCTTGGGGTCTTGAAAATATAGACTACTGAGTACGTATGAAGGCTTGAAAATTGAGAAGACACTAGAGAAGGGTAAATCCCCCTTCCAACCCCTTTCTCTCTGCAGTCCCTGCCAGAGAATCTGTAAAGGTGATGAAAGGAATCGGCAAAACACAAGCGAAAAAGAGAGAGAGAAAGCAAGTGTGTGATATGAGAGATCACAGCTGTGAGAGGCGAGCAGTAAATCACTACGCCGCCCATGCCACTAATAGAACCGTTGTCGTGTGTTGCTTAGCAGGCAGCGTTACAATCAACTTCGTCACGCTTCTTTTTCCATGCTAGTTCAATGTCAACCGAGAGTCATTAGACAGCTTTGAAATGAAAGTGAAACGGCACGGCACTGCCACGGTACATAATTAAGGAAATCATATAAACCAATCACAGCGCGCGAGACTACTGCTCAGCCAATCTAAATGCTAGATTACATGTTAGATTACATTAAATTATATATTTAGATCACTGAAAAGAAAATACTTATTTGGTCAAATAAATAAAGCTAAATATAAGTTGTAATGAAAGGAAATGCCTAGAGCCTAAATAAACCACGGTCACGTTCACGTTCACGGTCACGGTCACGGTCACGGTCACGGTCACGGTCACCGTCATGGCATGACAACTCCATACCATGAGTTTTCCACTGTCATACGAAATTGCTCTAGTGTAGCCATGTCTCTTCCCTTCCCATATTCCCACTAAGAACAAACCTTTGAACGAATATCATCAGTTAAATCACCAAAAGGCAGAATAGACCAAGTGAGGATGTTTTCAGCTTTTGATGGAGGAAAGCTTGAAAGTAGTTGTTCCTGTGAAGAAGAAAAAAACTCATTCAAAATGTTGTAATAAATATGCAGTATCCCACACCTTCTTGGTAAATGTAAATTAGTTTGATCAATTAAAGTCAGGATGAGGGCAGGGAGAGCGGGAAAAGAGATTCGACACGCGCGGTTTTGGCGCGAAACGTAATAAAGTTGATGAGTTTTTAATTATCGTACCTGGTGGTCCTTTGCCATAAGACGGGTCAATCGTCTGACTAGCCTAGACACGTGACACTGTGACGTACTGCCCTTGGGTAAGCTATTCATCTGAGTACGGATATACAAATATATTCACTATGGAGGATTGTAAACATGGAACAAATTAACCTCCTCCGCAGGCATCTCCATGACTCTTTTTGCTCCTTGGGCTTCCTGTGGCGAGGACAAAAATGACGAAGGGGGAATGGGGAGGGGAGGGATAAAGATACTCCTCTCACTTTTTCTCTCCCTCCCTCGTCTCCACTCCTCCTCCTCTCCTTCCTAGTCCTTCTCTGCCATAAAATTTAATACAGGGATCCCAGCAGAGAATAATAGAATATATGGAGTAACCTGCGGAGGAGGCTAGGAACAAATGTCATTGTTGTTAATTTTCTGCAATAACACAGGGACCTTACCAAACCAATTAGAAAATGTGCATGACTTGAGCATAGTTCTGCTGATTCCCATCTAAAAAAATTAAGTTAAAAGTGAATAAAAATGGATAAAATGCCTAGAATAACACGGGAAGTCAGCTCTTAGACTAGCATATCATATACCTTCCCAAGAATGTCCAGAGGTCCATTGCGAGTATCACCGAAAACAAGTCCTCTCCAATAAGATATTCAACAAGACACCTCTCCTATACAAAAAGCACTTACTGCATTAAAAAGTTAGAGTGTGTTTCTGTGTGTGTGAGGGGTAGGGGGTGTTTGTCTTTACAAAATGTCATGAAGACTTGTAAACGACTCCTATAGATCCCTTGCAGCACGCTGGAATGCAGCTCAATTTGGAGGACGTAACAAATTAGGTTTGCATTTCTCAGGAGATTGAAATTCTTTAGTTTTGTCCTCCAAATTGAGCTCCTTTGACGTCACATGCAAGGGGTCTATTTGGAGGACGTAACAATAGGTTTCCAATTCTCAGGAGATTGAAATTCTTTTGTTTTGTCCTCCAAATTGAGCTCCTTTGACGTCACATGCAAGGGGTCTATTTGATAGGATTTCAGAGCTAAGCCCAGACCAAAATTTCCATAGAACTCTGAAAAGCCAATTTGTTATCATGCACCATGGAAACCATTTTTACTTACAATCTGAGAAAAGCATGATGAAGGACTTGATGCTATAAGTGCACAAAGGTGGCTACAGGCATGTTCATAGAAGCCTACTTTCCTGGTAGAAATAATTGCAGTTAGTGACAGCATACATCTTTAATATATCTTACAATAAAAGAGTTAGACTTGCTCCAATTCCCAATCTATTTTTTCCGTTAATTTTTTTCCGAAAGAAAATTTCTGCAAGGAAATACATCTAACAAAAAAGAAAAAAATCTCTAGGCCCGCCCACCCTTTGGGATAGTAGTCCTATCTATGAGGAAGTTATGAAAGTTTTTTTCTGAAGCAACACAGCAGACAGACAGACTTACGTACCTGAGTGGCTTACCCATGCACATAATACCATCAACATAGACTGGTAGACTGAGCTCAACTGCACCTATCCAAAGTTGCAAACATGTAAGGGTACTAGTTATAATTGAGACAACCAAATGGGTGTCGGTAGGGTATCAGCTGACACCACACTATCAGAAAATTAATGTCCAGACTGTAAATTGTTTTGTGGCTTGGTGTACAACTTCATACAATAGAGACCTTTAGCATTAGGTTTACCACTAACTGCTAAGCATCAGGCCCAGAAACACTCCCGCAAATAAGAAGAAACAGTGACTCAGCATCAATGAAATTCAGTATGAAGGCTCTTACAGTTACAACTGCATTATGATTGCTAAAAATCAAAAGTTTAAGGAAAAACATCAGACGTCAAACTGCAGTTTGAGGTTGGCGTTATCTAGGAAGAATGTCATGCTAAAGGTCTCTAATGTCATGAAGATACTCACAAGTTTTGAGACATTCTATGGTTTTTTGCAGCAAAGATAGGCATGGTTCCTCCTGAAATAAGAAATGAAATTGTAAAATTTCACACCTCCATTAAAGACTGTAATGAGAGATGAAGGAGGTCAGTGGTAAAGAACTGGTTAAAACCTTATGATTAACCACCTTGAGGTTGGCTGAAACCAACACCCAGGGCCTAAAAATATCTGAGTAAAAGGAGATGCCTTCACTCTAAAATATCTGCAAATGGTTAGACCTTAGTGTGGCTTGGATGACCATGTAAGATGGCGGACCCTTCTCATTCAGAGACATTCATTTAAATGTAGAGGGCCACAAGTTTATCAGTGACTGTCACGATTACTGTCACCTTCTGTAAAACTCATTGATCTATTGATACACTTTAAGATGCTTACCTCTGGGTAATCCATAGGTTTCATCCACAAAGTGAATACATCGTCTATGATAAATTAATATACTATGACTGTTAATATTATCATAACCATTGATTCACATATTTCTCATTGATGAAAACTATTCTATTCAAGAAATTATTAATATGGTATTTTACCTGGTTGTTCTGGGAGTATTCCTGCAATATCTACAAGTACTCTAGCCATCCCAAAACCATCAAAGTCCGTGCCGTTTGCTGTGAGAAAAACACGCTATAATTAGTATTTCTCTATTAATGTACTGTAAATTGAAATCTTTTCCACTTTTATGTATTAAAATCATAAAATGTCATCTCATTCATCTTTGTTTCTCACCTCTTGCTTTTCTTGTTACCAAATCCGCAAATGCTTTGTTAGTAACAAGAATTTTCAAAAGCGGTTGGATCTGAAAAATACAACACAGACAATGTGTTTTGAAGATTTAAAAAAAAAAAAATCAATTAATTATAATTAATTGATTATATATTTACAAGAATAGATATGTTTTTTAAAAGTTTTTAAATAAAAACATTTTTGACTGTGAAAGTCTTCTTCAGTATAATAAATAAATTATTTATTTATTTTATTCATTCCTTCACTCCCTCATTGATTCTCCCATTCAGTTCTGTTCTTTTCTTCCCATTTATATTTGTTTGATCATTTAATCATCCAATCACTCATTCCTCAAGTTTTTTTATTCATTCATTCATTGTTCTGTAATACTGAACTTACTACAACCAATATCAATGAAGACATTTCCTGCTGTATTGAAGCAACTATTTGTGGGGCTGATAAACTTGGAGGTAAAATGCTGTAAAGAAGACCCCCAAAAAATCATGTTAGAAAAGGGATGAGGCTGATGATTATTGATGATTATGATTTTTATATAGCGCTCTTTTCCATATGGAAATGTTCAAAGGCGCTTTATAATGAGTGCATGAACTAGAGGTGCTTAGTACAAGGTGTAGGCACTGAGGGTGGTCACTGCTAGGGTTTCTTTATGTCCTCAGTGGTTCTTTAAAGGCCGGTTTAGACGGTATGATTTTCGCTTAAGACTATTGTATACAACACGCTCGCGTCTGTTGTATGCGAGTTGTAGGCTTGATTTACACGCTACAACTCGAAGTTGTAGGATGGCGCAAGCATGTTGTATAGGATAGTTGTAGGTGAAAATCATACCACCTAAACCAGCCTTAACGTTCCTCTGAGGCAATATGAAATGACAATATAATGTAAGGTTAGCTAGATAGCTAATTAAACATGCTCTTGCATACCTATGTAATGAAATGAGTAAGCTTAAAATGCTGGACTCACAACCAGAAAGATATTCGCTATATTCCTAGAAATATGAGAATATGGTGAAATTATTAGAATGAAGTCAAGCAGGACAAAAGAAAAACAATTTTTTTACATTTTTTGGAAAAATTATGGATGTATTAGTTTGAGCAACACAGTACAAGATAATACAGTATACCTTGTACCTTGACTTTTAACTTCAATTTGTAGTTTAATAAATTGACATCAGTTTTTTATGTGTCTGTTCTCTTATTGACAATAAATTGCGTCATCACATTGTCAAAGTAGCGTGGATTTATGAGGCATAGCACAATGTGATGATGCAACTTTGCATTCATTGACTTCAGATTATTTGTCTGTCCTCTTATTGATGATAAAAAATAGCTAAACGACATGCATCTATTTTTATCTTCTTGTAAAAATTAACTCATTTCCCATATTTTTTCATTTATCATTTCTCATTTTCATTTCCCATTTTTCATTTTTCATTTCCTACTTTTTCATTGCCTCAATTGCATGTTGCAGAGAAAATTACCATATGCATTATTATTATTGTAGTATGGGATTTAAGTTTTTTGGTAACATTCCTCTATGTACAGTAGTTGTCATTTAACTTAAATTTTACCTTAACAATATGTATCAGATGGCCAATCAGAAACCGTACAACTTTAAGCATCCTACTCAAAGACTTTGATTCAGCAGTGTTAGCAAACTGTAAAAAAAAAAAAATCAAGATAAATATGGTAAAACCTCAAGGTTTGGATTCACAGAGTGCAAATTTAATTGGCTGACAATAATAATCAAATCAAGTCCGGTTAACGTTTTGCACCATCACGCGCCCACATCTATAATACAACTTGGGCTGCCTATGGTTAGATGGCAGACCAATAAAATACCTTTGCTTATGGGAATTGAATTTTTTCTTGTGTAAATTATTAATTGTATTGTTCCTGCCATCTAACATGGCTGCCATTATGTGATAGTGCAAATCCTATGTTTAGCTTGTTAGATTTTACTACGGGGGAACAACTGTAGAACCTGGAGAAAAACCCCTCACATCCAGGGTTTGAAACTGAGACCCTAGAGGTGAGGGAGAAGTGCACTACTTCTACGTTGAACACCATCCTTGATAGTGGCAGAGATGGTTCAATAACTTGATTCCATCCAATAGCAATTTTTGTCTGGGCACTAAGATAATTGTACGAGGTAAGCTTTGGTTTGCCTTCTGCAGGTACATGTAGCTCAATACCAAAAATAAAGGACAGATAATAGCATGTCTGAATAAGTGGTATAATTACATTACCTGTCCAGGATCTTGTCCATCATTAATTGTTGCCATAGTAACACACTGCGTCAGTTTAGACTTGATTGAGTCACACAAATGATTGACTATCTTCTCAACATCAAGATCATTTTCAATTGCAGCTTTGTGCTTTGTGACCAGCCTGTTTCAAAAGGAATGAAGACTATGCATGAAAACTACAAGGTGTCTCAGGTCTCATTAATTTGAAATAAAAAGTAAATATACAGCAATTAACTCTCTACATGTAGTTAGTATATTGTTTCAGATGGAGTACACTAAAAATAGAATAAATAATAATTATTAATCCTACTATAGACAATGTCACTATGACCCACAATGCATTTCGGTCTTGGAATGCACTATTGGGTAAGCAGTATTCAGTATTCAACCTTTTTTTGAAATAGCTGTATATGCACAGCAATAACTTAGTACAGTACCTGTTTAATACTTTCCAGGTATTCACCAGAAGACCCGTATCGACGTTACAAATCAAGATACAAATTTCAAGAAGATGGTGACAGACTGAAAATGAAGTTTTCAAAAAATAATTGAATATGTAGCTATTTCAAAAACATGTTTGGTAAAGATTTTATCACATGTTGCATTAGGTCAACACAGAAAAAACAATACCAGGACAATGTACAGACAAAGTTTGTTAAAGCATGTTCAAGTCTCAAAGACACTTTAACATAGAACCCTGTTGGATGACAGAATGGTAGAAATTTTATCACATAAAATTCTATCCTTTACAGCCATTCTCAATCACCCATGCCACTCTAGCGATTGTTACTGTTGCGACGAAGAAGCTTTTGGTGGACATCAATCAAGGCATTTCCATAACATTCTATATTAGGCATGTGCCCTCATAGCTTTGTGTTTTCCAACAATGTTATGGAACGCCTTGTGATTGACGTCCATCAAAATCTTTGTCACGAAAGAAAAAAATCGCTAGAGGGCGCGTGTGATTGAGAATGGCTGTAATAGAAATTTAAATTCTAGTTCTGTCCTCCAATATGGTTGCTTCTATTCTTGTTAAAAGAGCTTTTTAATCATTACCATCAGTCATGTCTTTGACTTCCTCTGAATCAGAATCATAGTCCAAGTTTACCTTCTCAATGAGCTCCATTAAGACCTCAGTGGTAAGAAAAAATATATGCATTAGGTTTTGCAGAAAAAGTTAAAAAAAATGGGGAACTAAAGAAAAAGAGAAAAAACCTCAAATAGGAGTAGACCTAACAAAGTCTCTACAAAATGTACCCCAAGTCTTGAAATCGAGCCTCAGAGACATCAGGGGTAAAAAAAAAGTGCGCTATAATGGACGGCCCCTTGCATTTGACGTCAAAGCAGCCCATGAGAATTTGAAACCTATTGTTGTATGTCTTTTAAATTAAGCTGCATTCCAACGGACTGCAAACGGTTTATCCATTTATTTCTCCCACCTTATATATGGTCAAGGTTATGAATATAATAACATATGAGGTCATGATTAAGATTAGTAATACCTTTTGCAGTTGAAAGGTTTTCTTGAATAAGATTGATAACTCTTCTGAGAAATGTTGAAAGAAGTCAGAATAAATGGATTCACTTTCCTATTAAAAAAACACCATTTATTAGTAAAAAGTTATGCAATGAATGGAAACATTTGTTTCTTTCTAAAAGTAAAAACATATATGCATTAATATTATATATAATATCACAAACCTTGCAGTGGGTAAAGGTGGCGATTATAGTTTTTAGTACAGCAGGATGCAGTGAATGGATTTGTTTGATGGACAGAGAAGGTGCAGTCTGGCATACGTGTAGAGTACAGCTCTCCAAGTATTCTATGCAAGTGATAACACCCTAATCAATTGAGATGAAAGTTGGTAATGATTAGGAAGAAAAGTATTAAATAAAAAATGAATAGATGGGATGAATGAAAGAAAGCAATGGATGAGCATAAGACAGATTAACAAATGTTAACAGTAATGTCACAAATACTGGCTGACTGAGTGACTAACTTATTAAAGCAAAGAAGAGAAGAAGAAATGTGAGGAGAAAGTGAGAAAGGGAGACAGGGATCAGAGAATACAGAAAGGAGAAATAGATGCGTTAATAGACAACTTGAACTAACAGGTCACATGACCCTACCTCCCTTAAAACGAGCAGTTGTGTGAAAACTAACTTTAGAAATGAAAAGAGCAGCTCAACATTAGTAAGAGGGCGAAGTTTCAGCTCATAATGTTGACTACATTAAACTTGATTGAAGCATGAATGGAACATGAATACATCAATCAATGAATGGATTGCAACAAACACACCAAAACAAAGATTAAAACTGTCTAGTGTATATATATTTATACAAATTTCACTTGCTTTCAAATTGGACTGTATGGTCAGTAAAATGGACTCATCGTCATCAGTGCAGCCAAGAGCTTGTAGAAGATCAACTATCTTGACCAGAACCTCTATAATCATCTCATAGACCTTACAAAAATAAGACCAAAATGTGATACTTTCAGGAGAATTGTTGGTTGTTCAAAAAATAGTGCTCAAGGTAATGACAAGTAAGAAAAATCACAAGAGTGACTTCTGGTTACAAGTACGTAAGGCATGGCAAAGGGTTGAGAAATATGTATGTAAAAAAAATATCACATGATCATCAACTTTATGCACCGAATCGAAATATGGCGACCAATTTGAATAACTGTTGTTCTGCAATGACTAGCGACTGACTTGCCTCGTGTTCACGAGGAAACATAAAAGCGTTTTCACATGTATGATAGGCTAGTCAGTCGCTAGTCATTGCAGAACAATAGTTATTCAAATTGGTCTCCATATTTCGATTCGGCGTATATAAAAATAGTATACACCTATTTCAATAAACGTTGTCATTGCCAAAGGTGACAGGGGATAGGTCATTTTGACTTGGAAATGGTTTTGTCCAATACAAAGAAAATTGAATCTCAACACTAAGGTTCATGTTCTTGACGAGAATAAGAAGCAGAAACACAAGTCAGCTATTCTTGAATCATCTTGGAATGACCTATCTCCTATCTCTTTTCACCTATTGCCTATCGCCCTTTGGCAATGAAAACCTTTATTGAAAAAGGTGTATATTTTTTCAATGTGTATTACAGTACCTTGGGAATTACTTTTGCAAAGTATTTTGTCTCCATGTCCATTAGAGAAATGTCAGGAAATACTTGGTATGTCAGAGAGCCAAGAAAATCTAACGACCCCACCCCCCCAAAAAATAGAAAGAAAGAAAATAGAAAAAGAAAATTAAGATGTTAAGTTTCGCAAAATTAGAAAAAGAATCAGGAAAGCAAATTTTATAATTGCAAACACTGAAAGAATTTCTAATAAAAGTAATGAAAAATATGCTTTTTAAAATACCTAGTTTTCCAGTGAATCTTTCAGCCTTATTAAAACTTTTCTGATTATTCATGAAGGAAATATCATTGTATGATCAATATCACATTAGAACGATATCAACTACAGAAGAAAAATAGATAAATATGTACGTGCCATCACTGCTTATTGGTGAATATTTATGCAATATGAAAGCTTTCTTTCATAACATCAAAGGATACGATCAACTCTTCGCAATTTTTTTGCTTATTTTCAGTTTGAAGTATTGGTGAAGACGAAGCCATTGCGTAGTCCTGTACTCTTGCAATGAGAGAAAACCAAAAACTCACTTGAATGTAGTCAAAAAGAATAATATTTCCGTGATTTTTTCAAAAGACTTGGTAACTTCATGTAAGCCGCCATATTGGTTTTAGAATTTCCCGCGAAAATATCACGTGATAGCATGTCTCTCAGTACATCACGGCCATTCTCGGCCAAAACATATACGATACTTAGGGTTGATATTTAGATATATAGAATTGATCAATGTTAATCAAAAAACTGTCTTAAATAATCTAAAAGTTGAAACTCATAACAATTTGATGCTTAATTTTGTTTTGTGATTTTTAATTTTAATTTTAATTTTTTAAATTTTATTCGTCCCAAGCCCCAAAGTATGTAAATTAGTTCAAGCAGAAACGCGCGCAACGCCTGCCAAGAACCATTTGGCGGGAAACCAATAATTGATCTATTGATCAAGACATTGGCTTGAAGTGAGTAATATTGCATCGTAGTTTACTGATTTTTAACGCAGTTTGAGTAAAAAATCATGTTTTTTCTTCCTTCGGCTACGCTTCCTTCTAACATCACTCGTAGGTAAGAATTTATAAAATAAGAAAAAAGTTTTTGAAATGCATTGTATGTTTTTGTTTTGTCGCCTGAATGTCGTCCGTTCATTCTAAATTTCCTCAGCATTTTGCTGCTGAGCTGAACTCAAATTTGACATTTTCTTCTTACTGTTGAAGCTTGGAAGAAGTCGAAAGAGAATTCAACGAGGAAATCCTCACTAAGAAGGTTGGTTTTAGTTGCAGTTTTGTGTTGTTAAGAACACGTGTGAAGTATTGTACAAGCTGACATGAAGCTGTCAAGCCGCCAGTCAATTACATCACAGCATGTGAGAAATACGAATAAATAAATAAATAAATTTATCCTGGCCTACAGCTTTTCACAATTTTTCCAAAAATTGAGTGTAATATTTTAGTATATATGTCTGAAGAAAGATATTTAGTATAGAAAGATATGCATCTAGTTTTTGGAAATCATTCGTGCCTACTGCAATGAGTACCCTGTACGTGAGCTTATTCCAAATATGTACATTATTAGAGAAACGGACTGGGGAAATGGATGGTAGTATCTTAATAGAGTTATTAAGGGAAAAATGAGCTTCTGAAATGACAGGTTGCATAAATGTATTCCTATATGATAAAATGATTTTTATTCCCTGCAAATATATTAGGATTCCTTGATTCCAATATGTCAATCATTTCCAAATGTGTTCGATATCAATTAATTGGTTATTTTCCACATGACATTTCCGGTAACGTGTGGGATTTTTCTCTGCTGAAGCAAACATATTTGAATTAACATATGATGACGACATGCTACCACTCGTCTGACAGCTTATGATATTATTATAATTTTATAATTACAATTATAGTTTATAATTTATTCATTATCGACTGAATAGCAACTTAACAGATCTCCCATTTTAATTGTTGCCATAAACCAATTTCAAAAAAATGTTGTCGGTCAGAGATCTGAAATGGGCAATCTGAGACAACAGAATTTTCGTGCTTTTATGTTTTCTTGTTAAAATATGAAAAAATCCCATTACTAACTTCATATTCCATTTAAAAGAAAACTACGTTGTTTGGCATTGAATATGTTGCATTTTTTAGCATTTCACCCAGTTTCAGATTTTAAATTTCGGGCATCTGACCTACAATATTTCTTGAAATAGGTGTATACTGTTTGGGATTTGAAATACTTCAACACTGGGAGTGGGCAAGGAGTGGAAGAAAAAATGCCAGTGGAGGGGAGGGCCAGGGGTCAGAGTGAAGAACCTGGTAATTTTTTAAAAATATCTTTAATAATAAAGCATTTAACCTTATTAGCTTGGGAGTAATGTTTCCCATTTCATATGTCATTCTCTTGAGAATAAGCTTCTTAAATGTTTGAGTTCGAGTCATATTCATGTGTCTTCTCATGCAGAACTATTAAAAAAGCAAAGGGGATCTAGGGAATGGTACACAGTTTGTAATGGATTACATTGGGTTTTTTTAATTTTTTTTAACTTACTTTTTTATGCTCGAAGTTATTATTTGGAATGATAATAATATTAAAACTTGAGCACATTTTAATTAAAATCAAATGATTCTCGAATAGGGATATATCAAGAAGAAATGTAAAATATTGCATGCTCATTTGACCAAAGATGCTCAAGAAAGGTAAGAATTTTATTTTATTTATTTCCAAATCAGAATCACTTGAAAGCAATGCTTTTAAATTAGTCTAAGAGTAATATAAAAACATTGCAAATTAATTTCACGATTAATTTTATATTATTTTGTCAAATTTGAATACAGAATTGAAGAACTTGAGGATAGACTTAAAAGTTCTCTACTGAAGGAGGTAAGAAATATCATACACAAAGTGTGTTTACAGCTCGATGCGCAATAGTTAATGAACACATTTAATGTTTTTAATACATGCTTCTATTCAGGGGTATTTTGAGTCCAAGCAAGCTTTTATATGCCTTATTTGGTAAAACCCGGCAGCTTCTTATCAGAACGTGCATAAAAAGCCACCATTCACCCTGACTTCATTGTCCCCTGACTTTATCAGCCAGGGGGGTACCCCCATTTTGGACTATACGGGGATGATCCCCTGAACAGGGTATGGTTTTTCGAGCTTCTTGTCATAAACAGGTTTGAAATTTCACTCAAGTTCCAAGTTCTTCCTGAGTTTCCTGTCATATTCAGGATTTCTACTTTCGTATTGACCGAAACTAGTTATTATGGTCTTAAAGAAAACGATACGCGAGATGACATGATAATTGAAACAGGAACTCAGTGTAATAAATTATATTTTTTGTCATAAACAGGGTCTACAAATTTGAGTTTTTTTTATCATAAACAGGGTACCCCTTTCAGAATCCCAG